ACTCAGGACCTGTGGCTCCTCCCAGCTCTCCCAGCATCACTCAGGACTTGTGACTCCTCCCATCCCTCCCAGCATCACTCAGTATCTGTGGCTCCTCCTATCCCTCCCAGCATCACTCAGGACCTGTGACTCCTCCCATCCCTCCCAGCATCACTCAGTATCCGTGGCTCCTCCCATCCCTCCCAGCATCACTCAGTACCTGCGACTCCCCCGCCAACACTTCTCGCCCCTCTCCCTTCTTTGAACCTCTTCTTCCTAGGGGCAGGATTTCTTTTTACTTCCCTTCTCCCAGCCTAATTTCTATATAACAGTCTTTTTGGCTCAGCAGCTCTCTGGCCTGGGCCATCTGTCTTGGTCAAAGGCTCCTTTCCTACTCGCCCTTCCCTTCTCTGCTAGCATGGTCCTGTTTAGTCTGATGGCCATACGCAGCCTGGACTCTCCTCTCTGTCAGCTTTCTCCCATACTGTCACAATAAAAATCTTCTCCATACTATAGGAACAGTCATGTAATCCACATTTTTTATTTCATTTTTTCACTCATTCCTCCAAATGGAACATCTATATCAATTCTTCAGGGCTCAGAGAGTACCATGAAGAGTCTGTAGAAAGAATTTAAGAACTGAAGGTTGGGATAGAATGTGAAGTGCTGGCTCATGGATGTGTCTGTTGCACCCATGAGCTATAGGAGTAGTGGCTGCTTGCATAAGACCCGAGCAAGACAGGCCCATCAATATTCCATTACTGACAAAGAAAGGGCTCATAAGGCTCCTCCCTTCTCAGATGATGGGGTGGTTTGAATAGGCATGGCCCCCATAGACTCATGTGTTTGAATGCTTGTCCCATCAGGAGTAGCACTATTAGGAGGTGTGGTCTTGTTGGAGTAGGTGTGGCCTTGTTGGAGGAAGTGTATCAGTGTGGAGGTGGGCTTTGAGGTCTGGTGCTCAAACTATGCCCCATGTGACAGTCTACGATTGGTGCCTATGGATCTAAATGTAGATCTCTCAGTTCCTTCTCCAGCATCAGGTCTGCTTGCACCCAGCCATGCCCTGCCATGATAATGGCAACCTCTGAACAGTAAGTCAGCCCCAGTTAAGTGTTTTCCTTCATACGAGCTGCTGTGGTCATGGTGTCTCTCCCCACAATAGAAGCCTAACTCAGACAGATGAGCTGTTAGTAGTTAAAGCTGCAGAAGGAGGGGCCTATTGCTCAGTGTTGTAGTCACTAGACATTGTCCTCACGCAAACAGAAAACTTCCACCCGTGCTCATGCAGGCAGCCCTAATGAAACACAGTGGTTCACATGTTAAAACAGACACAAAAGTAAGAGGGAGCTATGAGGAGAAGAGAGTTAGTGGGAGGAGGGAGGGGAGAAGAGAAGATAATGGGGAAACCGATCAAAGAATCTGCGTACAAAATGGTGAACGAATAAGTAACATAATAATGGCACAAAAATAGGAACCTTATTTGGGCTGCATTCTTTGAAACTTAAAATTGATATTTATTTGCATGTGTGTATGTATATGTGTGAATGGATGTGCATGAGTGTGCACCATGTGTGCATGCATGTGGTGATCGGAGAAAAACTTACGGGAGTTGGTTCTCTCCTCAGCTTTACTATGCAGTCGTGGATCATGGTGCCATTTTATGTATCAGAAGCAGGACATCAGAGTCTAGAATAAATATAAAATGTATGGTCAAGAAATCTCTTTATTATTTATTCCCAAAGTCTCAATAATGTCAGAAGAGAGTGTGGAGTGGGGTAGTGTGTGTGGTTTGGTATAGGGGAGTGGCAGGGTCAGGGTGGGCTACTTGATATTGGCCATGGCAATGACTTTGTGGCTCTCACACCAAAAGGTCAGGGTCTAAGAAAAAAATAAAGGGATTAAGACTACATCAGGTTAGAAAGACTTTGTATGAGAAATGAAAAAAATTGACACGATAAGAAGGCATCTTACACTCTAGGAAAAAAAATACACTGGCCACACATCTAATTCGGAGGGAATATCCTAAATTTTTCTTTAAGAAATTTTTTTAATATTTATTTATTTATTATGTATACAATATTCTGTCTGTATGCCTGAAGGCCAGAAGAGGGCACCAGACCTCATTACAGATGGTTGTGAGCCACCATGTGGTTGCTGGGAATTGAACTCAGGACCTTTGGAAGAGCAGGCAGTGCTCTTAACCTCTGAGCCATCTCTCCAGCCCCCCCCCTAAATTTATAATTAACTTTTACAATTCAATAATAGGAAAACATAGCCGTGTTAAAATGAGAGGAATGGGCTCAGACAGGCATATTTTAAAAAGAGAAGTGAAAATGGGCAATGGTTACATGCAAGGCACTGAGCATCACTAGTGACCAGGAAGGGCAAACGTATGCCCAGGATGTCTCTCCACATACATTAGAAATACTGAGAAATAGAATGGGAGACAACAAATGGGGGCAAGTGCATGGGATGAAGGGACACCGATGGGACAGATGAATGCTACCCCAAGAGTCCTTGGGAGCCGACATTGTCTTCCGGTCTCCATGAATACCCACCAGCATGTGGACACACCCTCTGTTACAGACACACGTACATATACATGAACAAAAATGAAGTAAATTTTGGGGGCTGTAGAGGTGGCTCAGTGCTTGCCAGTGCTTGTTGCTCTTCCAGAGGACCTGAGTTTATTTCTCAGGACTCACAAGAACCCACCCTGCTCACAATGACCTTTACTACCATGCTACCCCAGAGGGTCTGATGCCCTCTTCTGGTCTCTATGGCACCTTCTCTCACGAGGCAAAGACATAAAAAAATTGAAATAAAACCTTAAAAAGGAACTCCTTTTTTTTTCTTCCACAGTGTGGATGGATCTGGAAGTCATTGTGCCAAATGAAATAAACCGGATCCCAAAAGAAGATTGTCGCATGATCTCACACACGTGTGGAATCTAAATTAAACAAACGGGTCAACCCTACAGAGATGAGAAGAAAATGGAAGGAGCAGAGAAGGGTGGGGACAGGGAGGTGAAAGGGCAGAAGTAACGGACGTGTAGGACGAGCAAGTCTGGAGATGGAGTGGACCAAACGAAGACTATAATCAATGTTGCTTTCAATCGGTTTCAGCCGCCCCTGTCAAAAGAAGTGTTGTGAAGGGACAGATATTAATCTGCTTTGTTATCACAAAGCCCTCCACTATCTGTGCATCCCATAATAGCTTGTTGTAAATCTCAGACATCTACAATAACATCGGCTAGAAATACAAAGCTTGAGTAAGTGTGTGGTGAGTGGGACCGAGCTGTCTTACTGCGAATAAGGTAAGGCGGTCGTTTTGGATAGGGACAGCACCTGGTCAAGTGGTTGGCGCGCACTCCATTCTACACAGTTTTGTCCCACGGAGGACACAGAGTACTAGTCTTTCCTCAGCGTTGGCTTTGGCCACGCTGTAATGGTGCTTTTACATCTGCTCTGCACTTCTTAGAGAGACATGAACCTATGGTGGCTTATGTTTTATGCTGATAAAATAAAAAAGAAAATAATCTATTGGTCTAAGACTCATGTTTTCTCTTTCCAGTATGACCTACTTCATCCAAGGCATCATATTTGCTAGTTTTATTTGACCATTTGATTTGACCATTTATCCATTATATCTGTCTAGGGAATCTCATCATAGAAAAGGATGTTAGTACATCACATGGCATGTGATATTTTAGAGGCTAAATAAGGTACAGAGATGAGATCCTAGTATAACATAAAAATAATATGTATAGTAATTTTCCTAGTTGGGTATAGCCTTCCCTCTAAGAATCCATTAATAGTCTATTTAATATAGTAAATACATAATAGGTTCCACATAAATGGTTGCAACTTCTTAATAAATGTTATTTAAAGCAGTTACAGTAATAAAACAAAGTATTAGCATTCTAAAACCTTTAAAAATATGGCAGTGCACGAGAACACTGAGTGTGTCATTCCCCCAGCCGCTCTCACAGGTAATCATGAGATACAGATACAGTCTTCACTGTATCACTGTTTGATTGAGACAAGGTCTCACTATGTAGCCCCTCAGCCTCCCATTGTGATCTTCCTTTTTAGTCTCCTGCGTGCTTGAATTACAGGTGTGAGCCACCTTGCCTAGGCTCACTCTAACCTACCATGCATTTGTCAAACAGGTTGCTTTTCCACCTATCTTGAATTTTCAATCTGTTCTTTCTTTAGACAGCATTGCTTTATTAATGTCACCCTGGAACTCACGTAGACCAGGCTGGCCTCCAACTCACAGAGATCTGCCTGCCTCTGCCTCCTAAGTACCAGGCATAAAGGCGTGCGCCAGCACATCCAGTCTTTTTTATCTATCTAACCCAGCGTGGCCGACACCATTGAGTGAAGGAGGCCGAGAGCAGCACAGTCAGGTGGAGCAGACACTAGAGGATAGGAGACGTAGGGCGGCAGCTGTCAAACTGCCGCATGACAGAAGTTCAGTCCTGGGTGGCAGAAACTTATTATTTCCCAAGAGACGTGAGAATTGCAGAGTTTGCAATAAATATTCCTATTTTTTAAGCACCAGTAATCAGTTAAAAAGTGTAAGTGTTCGTAGCAAGTTTAGCATATCTGTAGCTAGACAGCAGTTGACTTGGGTCTTCAATGTGTGCCTTCTCTTTTACCGTTTGCTCACACAATTACAGTGATTGTACAGTGACTGTCCAACACTCTTTGTGCATTATCTGTCTAGGCTAAGTTATTTTGTGGCTTTTTAAACAATCTTTAAAAAGATTCATTTATGTTTATTTTTTGTGTATGAGCATTTTGTCTGTATGTATGCGTAGGCATCATGTATGTGCCTGGCACCTACAGAGACCAGAAGAGGGCATTGGATCCCGGAGACTGGAGTGACAGGTGATGGTTAGCTGCCAAGTGGGTGCTGGAAACTGAACCGAGGTCCTCTACAACCATTAGCTCTCTCCCTAGCCTGTGGTGATATTTTGTTTATGCTGTAACAAATACAATTTGCCTAGAGACCAGAGTACAGAACTAAGTCACTAGTTAGACATAGAGGCCAGGCAGTTGTGGCACACTCCTTTAATCCCCACACTTGGGAGACAGAGGCGGATGGATCTCTGTGAGTTCAAGGCCACCCTGGGCTACACAAGATTGAATCTGTCTAAAAGAGAAAAAGAGCTCACACAAAGGCGATCTCTGCACTTGGGATCACACACCTTTAATCCCAGCACTAGGAAGGTGGAGACAGGAGTGATATGGCTGGGCAGAGAGAGGAATATAAGGCTGAAGGAGACGGGAGCCGAAGCAGTCTGAGGACACAGTCTGAGGAGGCATTCGAGGACAGGATTGCACTTTTGATCTGAGCATTGGTAGAGGTAAGAACTCTTTAGCGTCTGGCCACTCTGCTTCTCTGATCTTTCAGCTTTCACCTCTGGATAGTTGACTCTGAGTTTTTATTGAGACAATTAGAATTCATGCTACACTAGCCCAAGGCTTTGTTGTTGTTGTTGTTGTTGTTTTTTAAAGGTAAGAGCTTTTCCTTCTTATTCTATTTCCTTCTTATTTTGTATTCATTCTGCTACCCAACAATGCAGGCAAGAAGTACAAATGGCTAACTATACATCTGTGAAATGAAACCCATGGGAAAGGCGTGGCTAGAACACAAACGTGACAGAGAAGAAACAGTGCGGCCAGAACACGACCAACACTGTGTAAATAAACCTGGGTGGGAGGAGGAGAACTGAAGACCTGTTGGTTAAAGTGACCCTCTAATACATAACGGTAAACAATAAATAAGTAATCACAGAATGATGTTATTTCGGACAGGGTAGCACAGTGCTGGTTTTTTACTGTCCTGGCGCTGTTCTGTCCCCTGGGACTCCTTGTCATTTGGTTGACTATGGCGACTAGGATTGAGTGCGATGGGAGAAATAGCCTCAGTCCTTGTGCTCTGAGCTCTGAGTTCCACCAATGGAGATGGAGATGCCCACTGGAAATTGACAGACAGCAGGAAGGAAGATGACCTAATGGGTTGGTTTTTTTTTTTTAATCACTTGATTTCTATTATTTAAAGCAAAAGACCTCAGAGGATGGGGAGAAACCAGCAATCAGCTTTGCTTGTAGTCCAGGACGCCGACCTCAGGAGCACACTTGTCTCACCCCTGCAGTGTTTTGAGCCTTGCCTTGTTCCTCCTTGTTGGTCACACGCTTTGACCGGATTTGTATTAGGACAGAGGTGGGAAATTGAAGAACCAGTCAGGCAGACAAACATAGCCTTGGAGACTTCAACAACCCAAGCTTCTCTTCCCGACTCCACCTTTGCTCTGGACTGATACTCTTAACCTACAAATCTGCCTTGTTATTCTCTTGTATAAAAACTTCTACAATTCCATCGTTATGACACCGGCAGGGTAACCAAAATGACACTGCAGTTTTGAACTCTTGTCCACCTCTTCAGGCCCCATTCTTGGCTTCCCAGACGTCCCTGGTTGACGTCCCTATCCTTCAGACCTCATGACATTTCCTCAGAAGCATCCCCATTCCCACAAAGTAAGACTGGGCAATGGGAATATGGGATTCTCTTAGGTCATGCTAATTTATGTAGCCACATTAAACAAGTGAAAATAAATAGGTAAAACTAAGGGTTTTGGTATAGTTATTCAATATATATATAAAATATTATACATATCTAATATATATATCTTTAACATAAAAGCAATTTAAAGTTGTTGATATCTGTTATTTGTATATGGTGGTTGACTTTAAAATCTGCTGTGTTTGGTACACAGAGCACATCTCTGTGAAGAGTGGCTACACCTCACGTCCTGACCAATAGTGATGTGTGGCTGGGGCTTCAGTGCTGGACAGTGGAACTGTGGATTAAGATTGGTTGTTACTATTTTAGTCCATTTTATCCCATGTGTTCTTTACAAAACATCGTTTATGTCTCATACCAAGATGCCAGTGCCTGCTTGTAGTTCCTTCTGGACCATGAGTGATACGAAGGGATTGGGCATGTCTGATGCATTCCTATGCCCAGTACCTGTGTTTGCTGAACCATTGCTTCCTGATTTTCAGATACTGTGTACCAGGCTTTCTACTCATTTTCGCTGAGTTAACATGCACAGTCAAGGGTGTGACATTCACCCGAGTTGAAGACCCAACAGCTAGCCGACTCCTTAAAAGTTATTGACTCACGCTCTTTCCTTAAAAATTTAGATTGATTTATGTGTATGCATGCTTGTCTGCATGCAATGTGTGTCATGAGCCCTTTGAAGTCAGAGGAGGGCATCAGATTCCCTGAAACTGGAGTCACCCTATGGATGCTGGAAACTGAACCTGGCTGGGTCTTCTACAGCAGCAACAAGCGCACTTAACCGTCTCTCCAGCCCTTCGTTGGCTTTCTTAGAGAATCTTGTTCAAAAATAAACAGTACATCCTAAGTTAAGTATATTATTCTAATGTCAGTTTTCTGGTTTTGACAATGTAGTATAGTAATATGAATTATTATCAAGGGGAGTTGAGTAAAGGATACCTGGGAACAAGATGCTATTTTGCAACTTATAAACTTAAACTATTTTGGGGTACAATGTTATTTTTTAAAAGTATCCTATCTGGGTGTAGCGGCTCAGGCATTTCAGCACCTGAAACTGGGCGACAGCTGGAGAACCGCTTGGGCAACAGGATGAGTCATTGTCTTGTCAGAAATGGTCTTCTCAATTTAGGCAACTCTAGGTAATTTCAATACCCCATAGCTCATAAATGTTTTTGATTTTATCATCACAGTGCTATTTCTTAAGGGCAGAATTATCCATGGGCTGGGAAAGGCCCGAGATCAGCAGCTCCTGGATGTTGTGGCTTCCTGCCACACTTCAGAATATTAGTATTCTGGCAGCCCTCTTGGAGTGATTAGGAGACTAAAAACAACATTTAAACAAATTAGGAATAATTACAATGCAATTATTAGCACAGTGTAACAATGCCTCCAGTATTTAGAAAGCAGTCAGTGGCCACCCTTCCACACTGCTCTGCTGTTTGGTAGAGTGGGTTACAGCCTGGACATAGAGTCTCTTACACATTCCCAAATGCTTGCCTGCTCAGTCTCACACTTCTGTGCCCATGGCAGGAGGCACTGCCCTTTGTTTTTATGCCTTAGTTGAATTGCCCATTGGACACTGCAACTGTGGATATTAATTTTGATTCAAAAAATATGTTGCACTGGACAAAACAAGGTTGTGTCGCTGTTCTGGACCCATGGTTTATTAGTGTTCCACAGTTCAATAGTGGAGAAGCATAGACTTAGACCCAGTGGGAATGTTTTCATTTTTGGCCTGCATAATTATTTTTACCAGGGTTGGGTTAGAACCCTGTATATTTTTTTAAACATATTCTAATATAACACTTACAAACCCTCATATAATTTTTTGCTCAACGGACATTTTCTTGAGAAATTCTAATAACTTGCAAAGTCCACAATATTTGGAATCTATCTCATAGATATGAGAGCTATCTATGGTTTCTTTAGTGTCATTTATCCGATGGTGTTTGATTCCATTCAGCTCAATTCTATCTGTAGAATTAGGTAAACAGACTTTTAATCTCCCTTACAGTGAATTTCTGGTTGAATGTGCTTGCCAATCCAGACATAGACCTTGAAGAAAAACATCTATACTTAGAATGTCCATGGATTCGTTTCTCAACTACCTGTAGATCACATGCTGTGCCCAGCACTGAGGGACTCAGAGAACACAGGGAGACAGAGTTAACATGGGTTCTTTGCTCAGTCTTGGCAACGGCGGTGGTACATACAGACACCTAAAGGGATGTCCACACATGCCACCCTCCAGGAGCCTGACTCTGCAGGATGCAGAGGATCCCAAATCCTTAGGATGTTTTGTTCCGTCTGTACAGCCCGTGCTTTTCTCTCTTGACAGTTTGAATGTTGCTTTCACGCTCTCCCTGCTTGTGCGCATAATAGATCTCTCTTCCCATGGATAGGTAAGACAGTGGTATCTGATTACACCTGCTATTTTCCAAACAGTTATATTGTAGACCCGTTCTGTGTCAACAGACATGTGAGTTAATATACACAGTGCGGCCAGAAAGCCCAGAAACCATGCTGCCTGTGCTCAAACCCAGTTCCGACATTACTAGCCTGGTGGGTCTGCTGAAACCCAACTTCTCTGCGTCTCAACTTATTAGACTGCCAAATGAAGGATAATCACATGACCCTCTTCACTGTGCTGCCCCAGGATTAAATGATAATGGCTAGAAGGCATAGTCTAAAAGCTCCACATTCGTTATCTGTCGACATCAATGAGTTTCAAGCTGGTTTAAAGCAGTCGACATTGTAAGGAAATACTCACTCACAGATGAGGCTGGGATGAGGGGCGGGGCTCTCTGATGGTCCCCCATGACATCTCAGGAAAGTGGATCTCAGGTTTCAGTGTCTCACAACAACCTAGGGAATGGGGTAAAAATACAAAGGTCCAGGCCTGACCCAGGCGGATTGTGGGCAGGCTTCCCTAGCGATTCCAGCGGACCCAGACATTTGCTCACTGACGCTCTGCAATTCTCGGTACTTTCAGAGCTGGTCATCTCCAGCATAATATTTAGTGGCAATGTAGACCCCATGGAATAAATTTGCGCTGAAGTATTTAAGCACTCCACAGTGGTGGTTGTTCAGGCGCTTCTCATATCCCATTCCCCCATCCCCCCCCCCCCCACTTCCCCTCTCCCGCCAGTTACAATTGCTGCAGTGTAGCTTCCGGTGGGCTGTTCTGCTCTTTGTGCTACGGTGCGATTCGTGAGCCAGGCACGGGGCTGGAGATGGAAACACACACACACAGAGACAGAGACAGAGACAGAGACAGAGAGACAGAAAGAGACAGAGAGACAGAGACAGAGACACGGGTTACTCTTGACCAAGAATGCCAACTTTATTGCGTTCCAGGGCAGCTTATACAGTGCCTTCCCTGACCAAGGGCCACGCCCTTGCTTCCGGGATCCTCCAGCTGCAAGCCATCAGAAAGAAGCCACTCCCCTGCCATCAGGAACTCCTGAGGGTCTCGTGCTCAGAGCAGCTGCAAGCACAGGAAAACAAGTTGTTTTGCTCAGAGCAGCTGCAAGCCTAACAAGCTGTTTACTGCAGCAGAAAAGGGGATACAGGAAAATCAGGGTCTGGGGGGTCCACAGTCCCCAACACCGCGGAGACTCTTCAAGGAGTTCATAGTCTTCTGTTCATGAGTCGCTATGTCTGCTCAGTGTATTTTTTAGACGTGAACTTGCTAGGGCCTGGGTTTATGCACTTCAAATTATGATAAATATCATCAAATTGCCCTCTGAAAGGTTCTATCAGTTTACTCTCCTGCCGTCTGTGTTGAAGAGGATGCCTTTCTCCCTTATTCTGTCATTTTTCTCCTAACTTAGACTTTAACACTCTTTATTTGGGGGCATTGATGAAATAAATCCACATCAGTGATGCCTGGATCTGTGAGCACTCGGCAGCCGCATTTCAGAAACCCCTGGATCCTTATTATTTTCTTCTCAGCCACCTTCTCCCCTACCTGGCCCTGGCTTGCACTAGTACAGCTGCCTCTTGTGACATTACATGTCTGTCCTATGCCGAAACCGAGGACAGTGTCCTGTTTCTCTTGATTCCTATTTTCTACAGCCAAGTTCTTTATAGTCAAGAAATTCTGAAGTCAAAAATGCAATTCTCTCATTGTTAGTTCCTTGATGCTCTGACCATAGCTGACTCTCTGAGTGACGCATCATGGGAGTGAGAGCTCTCTGGTGATTTAGGAGCCTGCCAGACAAGTAGGGCTTCACCAGTGTAAGGATGTAGTAGTCTAGTGTGCCATCAGCACCACGCCATGATGCATTGTCCCAGAGTAGAACAATGCCCACCCCCCCCTCAAATCATCATGAATTCTTTTAGACTTAGACTTGAAAACTTTGTTTGGAATTAAGGGATAAATATGTCCCCCACCACAGAAGAGAGACAGGAGAGAGAGACAGACAGAGAGAGAGAGAGAGAGAGAGAGAGAGAGAGAGAGAGAGAGAGAGATCAGCTCTAGGTCATTGTCTAATATGAGCTGGAGATGAGTCTTCAGGCTGGAGGGGCTGGAGGCTAACTGAAAAAGTAGTTAATTGTGCTAAGGGAAGATGGCATCCAAAAAGAAAGGGCTTCCTTACCCTACTGTTTATGGTGTGCTTCCCTGTAAGCCAGGAGGCATTTGTCAGAATTCATTTGTCCATTTGCTTCTTTCCCATTTCTCTCCTTCCCCCTTTTCATTCTTTCTTCTTCCCTTCTATTCTCCGTCCCTCTCTCCTTCCATTCTCCCTTCCATTGCTTTTGTTCTTCCTTCCCTCCTTTTCTCCCTCCCTCTTCCACATTCTCCTTCCCTTCTCTGTCTCCTTTTTAAAACCCACAGCCAGTATGTGCCAGGGAACCATACACTGAGCTACATCTCCTGCTTTGCACATTTGTTTTTAAAGGGGAATCCTCATTACTAACGTGGTTCATTACTACAGTGTGTCTTGAACTCTTGACATAGGGACTTTCTTCCCCCAAATCCTAAAGTCCCCTGACAGGGCCATTCCTTTTCACATGGTAGTCTCTGTCGAATAGTGTCCTTAAAATGAAACTGTGTTGAGGAGAGCAGCAGGAGGTGCCATAGTAACTCCTTGTCAGCAGCGAGAATAGGGAAGACCAGAGAGAGGAAGAGGAGGAGACAACCCGGCTCGGGTTGCCACTAAGGACTGGAGGAGTACAGGCTGTGGGATTACCCTGATTTGAATTTGAGTTCTTATGTAGTTCTTTTTGCATCTGGGCAACTTGCCTTAACCTTGTTGGGCTAGTACGATGGAGGCATGTTCAGTAACTGCCTTATAGAATCTTTGTAGTGATCAAATGAGTTGATTTCATTGAAAGGACTCAGAATATGCCTGGGAAGACTGAACGTGCTAGCAATTATGGTGGCTGTCACCTTTACACCTCGTTACCCACAAGGGGAGCCACCCTGACGCTTGACAGCAAGGGAGAAGGGCCAGTAAGTAATCTGGTATTTGTAGGCTCACAGCATTTATTCCCCAGCCTAGATGTTCCCTCTGGATTAAGGTCCTGTAGAACCTACTTTAAAGGGCAGACTTCCCACCAGGCCATCCTAAAAGTTCACAGGTCCTTCTAGAGACCTCTGTATGGTGAAACTCAGGACCTGCCAAGGGAGTGTGAAACTTCCCATAGGCAGAGCTGAGGTGCACCTGAGAAGTGATCACGGCCGTAGGAAGGAATGAAGAGGGGACACTGTCATTCCAGTGTGCCAGGCACTGTGAAGAATGCATCATGATGGTCAACCCTTAGCTCTTCACCACGGTGTTAATACCCCATCAAGTAGATGCGAAAGTCAGGCAACTTGCCCCAGGACATACTCTAAGAAATGCATGGAATCAGGACTCTGCTCAGGTTGTTTTGATTCCAGAGCCAGAGGTCTTAATTGATATACTCCTAGAGATATACACATGCTGTGCTCCCAGAGACCATGGACATTGTGAGGTTTGTTCACTACGTGCAAGCAGTGTGTGAACTCGAGATGAGACAAGTAGAAAACAGACCAGAAAAAGAACCCTGGCCTCTCGGTGGCTAACAGAGCTCCAGGAAGCTCTGAGTTCCCTAAGGCTGGGCAATCAGCGCAAACTGAGTTCACTAAATTCAAGGGGGGGCTTGCAGGAGGGGCTCTGGGCTCTGCACTTGACCTCCCCACCCTCCACCGCCAGCTTCCTTGTGATCAGCCCGTGCAGGGACGGCATGCACTCTGTAGATAAGCAAGGACGATGCAGAATCCATCGCCTCTTTCTGCCCCTCCCTCCTTACTCTCCCTTCAAAGCAAACTGCAAGGAACAGTTGTACTCCGGTCGGGCATGACAATGTCATCCCAGCACAGGGCTGTGAGCAACTTAATCCTGCAGCTTGCAGCCCAGGGCTGCATCATCGTGGCAGGCTCCGGGTTGTGGGGGAACAATGATCTTCTGCGGCTACCGATACATCTTTTCTCAAAGCACATTCAGTGGAATAAACACATCAATGCCAGAGACAATATTGTCACTTACGCCAGCCAGCCTTTAATTTCAGCTGGTAGATGGAAAGTAAGTTTGTTGAAATGAGTTTTTCCGAGTCTGCAGGAGTCCCGTTCTCTTTGGATTGGTGATGGGAGGCCAAGGAGGCCACTGTTTCCTTTGATTTTTTTTTCCTTGTTGTTTTGGAGAACAATTTTCTCTGACATGTAGTTGGTTGTTTTATGGCTCTGAGAAATATATTGGTTTATTCATCTGTTGCAACTATAATAATATTGCCATTGGAGTCCCACTCGGTAATAAATCAGACCATTCCTTTCTACTCTACACAAATAATTAAAATAAAAATCGACTCTGCCAGCGAATTTGTCCTACAAGCTGAATAGAAGTGTGTGCTATAAGTCTAGATATTTTGGTTGACACAGGACTGTATATCTTAAAAATAAGAAACCAAAAGGCGGGAAAATAAGACCTTATTTCATTATGTACAATTTATAACATTTATCTTGAAGATAAAGTCGCTGTCCTTGGCTGCCTATTAACTGGGAACTAGAATTCGAATACCGTGGGGCTGTTCATGTTTCACAGCTTCCCAGACCCCAACACCATCCTCCTCTGTCTCTGTCTCTGTCTCTGTCTCTGTCTCTGTCTCTTACTGCTCTAGCCCTGGAAACAAGGGCTGATTATTTCTGTCTTCATACTTGCATGTGCATTTTTATTTTTCCCTCTATAAATAAGTAAGGGAAATATATAAAAATGCACAATTAAAAACAAGGTGAGGATGGGTGAGTCCGAGAAATGGGTGGAAAGCGGGGAAGAGGTGCAGGAGGGTGAAGTGACGGCGGAAGACACACAGAGCTGGTACTCGCTGAGGGAGGAAGGCTGTGCGCTGTGTACTGGGCTCCTCTTGGGTGAGTGTCCTGACTCCTACTGATGGTTGATAAGACACACAGTGAAGACCAAGAAGAAGTTACACCTGGTATTAGCATTAGAGAGGGTTTTCCCTTCCAGGCCCTCACTAAAAGGACACTTCTACTCAGGGACAAGAGTCATCAGCATATCCTTAAGAAACACAATTAATTAATTGGACTTGCCCTTATACTTGGCACATCAAATAGCAGGGGTATTTCTAAGAAGGCCAATTGTGAAGCCAAGACAATGGCTCCTTTTGGCCTTGTGTAAGCCAAGTAGAGAATTAGATACACTTAATAGTCATTCCCGACTCAGCATGAGTTAGTCACCCATGAAATAAAGGTTGCTATGTCCCTCCGCCCTTTGTATATAAAGGGATGCCGGGTGATTCAACAGAAGCCAATATTGCTGTAATCTCAGGGCTGTCCTGAAGCAAAGGCTGGCCTGCTTCTGTTATTTAGCTGATGGACATCAGCCTGGCGATGGGATGGGGCTGGGGGACTATGGTGTCTCTACTCTGTGGCTTCTGTACTCAGGGATCCAGCTAAAAGTTCCTCCATCTCCGTGATTTTTGTAATGCTAAGACAGGAGAAACACTCGAGAGAAATGTGGGTAGGCTCCCAAAGCTTCTAGCTGAATATGTTTATTAACTTCTCAAGTCTGTTTTATTGGCCAAAGCAAGTCATACGGCCATGTCTCATTGCAGGTTGGTAAGCAAGGGCAGCTCTACCTTGGCTGGGAGTGGAGAATCTGTTTTATATTAGAGCCCCAGGGGCATTCAGGGATAGCCTTTGGACCATATTTTGAGGAGCACTAACCCAGAGAAAGACTGGATTGTGTGTCCTCAGGGAGTCT